GGGGGGGGCAGAGAGAAAGAGGGAGACACAAAACCCGAAGCAGGCTGATAGCTCAGAGCCCGATGTGGTCCTCGAACTCAATAACCATGAGATCATAACCTGAGCGTAAGTCGGAAACTTAACTGACTGAGCCATCCAGGCACCCCTATTTCTTATCTACTTTAAGCTCAGGGAAACTTCAGTCTGGAGATGAGCACTGCAAACAAATGTTTGTGGTCCATCCGCAAAGAAGCAGAGGGCATTGTGCAAGCTCATGAAGAGAGAGCACTGTGGGGCTCACGCAGCCCCCAGCCCAGAGTTGAGCTGGAAGGCAGAGCAGCTGCCTATTCCTTTCCACTGAGGGGCAGAAGCAGTGGGTCCACGGTCTTCCTTGGCCCCAGTAAACAGACTGGGTATGATGGTCCCCATGGCTTCACAGGAAGCAGAGGTCTCTCTGTTGACGCAGATGCATGCCAACAGGACCACCTGCCTCCAGCAAACTATGAATCCGCTGTTCCATTTGACCTTCATTGCTCATTAGCTTTGGTATTCTCTTTGTGGTATTCCCCACAAAACCCTTCTCTTGAGAAGTCGGGGGTCGGGGGAGGGAAATGAAGAAAGAGAGTTTCTCAACTCCTTGCTTAGCTCTGAGCCAGGAGCTGACAGCTTATTTGCATTTAGCCACCCCGGACCCTAGCATATAAGGCATCTGGAGGGATATGTCAGGGTCTGGCCATGGACCACAGCCATTATCATGGCTAAAGACAGTTAATACTTAACTTGGAGCTGTGTCAATTAACAGACTGGATACTAGGGTGCTGTATCACTTTCTTCCCTTACCTTTATTACTGACAAAATCCTATACGGGCATGTCTGTTTCCTTCTGGTTTGGCTTTGGTCTCGAACTGCTGATAAACTTTTTACACTGTCTGCAAAGGTTTACCTTGTGGATTTACAACAATAAAGCAAATACAAAGTGTGGAATGGTGGTATTTCCACCTGAATTTTTCCCAGGATTTAAAACATTTGCTTCTCTACCTTTCAGGGCCTGAGACAGGCCGAGTTGTCTGTGTTTAAGCCAACCATGATTTAGAGCTGAAGCAACCTAGCTGGTTGAATATTATTTATTTGACCCCAAGCCAGAAAGGGATCTGCCTGTGTTGCTTTTTTGGGCTAAGAAAATCAGTCTGGGCATCAGTGATGTTAGAACTCAGCGAATCATTAATCAAGAGAGCAAAGTCAGTAAAGGGAAAGGAGCTAATGAGAAGCTTTAGCGTTAGAAGCCATGGTGGGAGGCATACCTGAGCTGGAATCACATAGTCCGCCACATCCCAGACCCGGAATCCAAGTGTAGAAGTGTTGGTTACAGTCACGCCTTTGGCTTTGGTAGTAACGGAGCTGACCACAGAGTCCATTTCCTGGTAGCCTTTTTCCCACACAAACACCCACCTACAAAATAAAACACTCCTCTTAAATTGCCATTAGGATTCAGTGACTTTGTTTTGTTTTGTTTTGAGACAGAGAGAGGCAGAGCATGAATGGGGGAGGGTCAGAGAGAGGGAGACACAGAATCTGAAACAGGCTCCAGGCTCTGAGCTGTCAGCACAGAGCCCGACACGGGGCTCGAACTCACGGACCGCGAGATCATGACCTGAGCTGAAGTCGGCCGCTTAACCGACTGAGCCACCTAGGCGCCCCAGGATTCAGTGACTTTGAATTGATACTAGGGAGTCTCTGATAGCCAGAGGCTGACAGTACAACATTAACTAATTATGCAACTTTACAAAACTGTTTAACTTAGGGGGCTCTGCAAAATGGGCATATAGAACATAAATCACAGGGTGGTTTGTGGGAGATAAATGAGATGATGTAGGTAAAGCCCTTAGCACAGTGATCAGCACAAAGAAAGTACTCAATGAATGTCTTTATTTGACATTCAAATATCTATAGTTGAGCACTTTCAATGCACTATGACCTGCAGAATCTCCAAAGCAATTATAAAAATTATGATAATAGTTACCATCTGGGTGTTTTCTAATCCAAGGTGCTAATCTAAGCTCTATATATTTATTAACTAATTTAATCCTAACCACTTTATAACCAGATATTATTCTCTATTTATTTTAAAATTTATTCTCTATTTATCTTAAAGTTTATTTACTTATTTTGAGAGAGTGAGAGTGTGTGCATGCATGAGCAGAGGAGCAGAGAGAGAGGGAGAGAGAGAATCCCAAGCAGCCTCCGCACATGGGGCTCTATCCCACGAACTGGGAGATTGTGACCCGAGCCAAAATCAAAAGTCAGACACTTAACCGACTGAGCCACCCAGGCACCCCTATTATTCTCTATTTTTACAGAGGAGGAAACTAAGACAGAGAGAGGTTAAGTCATTTGCCCAAGGTCACACAGTTAGTGAATGACAAAGTGAGGATCTGAACTCAAGTCTTTTGCCTCTGAAGCCTCTTTTCTTGTCCTGTATGCTATACTCCCTCCAGAAAAGAGAATCTCACTGTTAAAGTAACTTTTTATTTTAGTTTCATACTTTTTCTCCAAGAATTCAGGTCCCATGTATGCTTCTCTTCTCTGGGGAGAATTGAGGGTGTTGCAACCAGCTTGAATAATTAAAGGGGGGCCTGGGTGGCTCAGCCATTTAAGCGTTGACTTTGGTCAGGTCATGATCTCATGGTTCATGAGGTCAAGCCCCGCATCGGGCTCTGCACTGACAGTTCGAAGCCTGCTTGGGATTCTCTCTCTCTCCCTCTCTCTGCCTCTTCCCCATCTGTATTCTCATTCTCTCTCTCTCTCTCTCTCTCCCTCTCAAATAAATAAACTTAAAAAAAATCTAAAGGCATTAGCACATAGTGGTTAGGACACTGGAACCTAGACTGAAGTCAGTGATCATGGTTCATTTCTAAGCTCTACCTTCACTAGGCATAACTTTGGCCTTTCTCTGTGCCTCAGTTTTTCCTATCAATAACATGGGAATGATAATAGGACTTCATAGGATAGTTGTGAGGTTAAATAAGTTAATGCATGTCAAATGTTTAGAACAATGTTTGTGTCGCCATCAAAAGGCTAAAATTGGCCATGATGGGAGGATTTACACCATGGAAGTTGGCTAATACTACAAATGAGAACTCCTTTCCACCAGAGCTGTTATTAAACACCTACCAGCGACCATTATTGTTATTTTTTCTAGAATCAAGAAATGCTAGCATCCCTTTCCTCTCCTTATAAGCTCTAGCTGCTAAGACTCCAAAAAATCACTGGCTTTGGTTATTTATGGGTTTGGCTGGTCTGAGCAGTCTCCAAATTCATTGTCCAACCTAGAGGTAGGCTTTTCCCCAAACAAGTCCTTTTCTTCAAGTGTTCTAGGAATTTAGCTGCAATGTAAGCTTTCATTTAATTCTACTGAGACACACAGAAGCTTATTTTACCACAGAGTACAGTGAGTTGCTAAATCAGAGACACATGGTTTCACACGAATCACTATGTGATTAACTACTGCCTCATCATGTGATAGATGACAGAATCAGATAACTGAGAAATCCATGTCCAGTCTAAGATGAATTGGCTTAGGAAGCTAAGAGATGAGTTAAAAAAAAAAAAAAAAGGAAAAAGAAAAGAAAAAAAAAGAAAAATGCCTTTAATTTCCTGAGTCAGTTTTGATCATAGAAGATGGAAAAGCAAAGCATTTACTGCTTTATAAATCCTCATGATCAAGGTAGCACACACTCTATGGGAACCTTGGAAAGCTGTGCTACCCAACAGAAATAGAACACAAGCTACATATGTAATGTAATTTCTAACAGCCATGTTAAAAAAGTAAAAAGTGTGGGACCCAAGGAATTTTACAAAAATCCCCTCCCCCTGGACAAGCAGAGCAAGACTAACTCCATTTTGTGCTACACCCACCATCTCATGTATAACCCCCACATGACCTACTTATTGCTTAAGACATTCCCCCACCCTAGTCAAGCGGCTGAGCACACCCTTACTGGAAACCGGCTCATTTAGGAATGCGGAACCCCTAACCGCCAAATAACGTAAACCCCGCCTTTTGCTCGCCAAACTTGCGCGCCAATTCTGACCAGAGTGATAGGCTAGTTCAAACAGTTACTATGGGGTAAACTGTAATTCAATTGGCCACCTGCATGTGGACTGACATGAATATGCAACTTTCTGTGTGTGTTACAATCTCATTGGCCACTGGCCCCTATAAAACTGCTACCCCTCTTAACCTAGGGGTCCAAGTCCCTGCTCCCCTGTGTCGGGTATACTTGGGCCCAAGCTCGAGCTTGCAAATAAACCCTCGTGCGTTTGCATCGGTATCGGCTCCTTGGTGGTCTCTCGGATTCGAAATCAGGGGGTTTACAAAAGAAAAACAGGTAAAATTAATTATAATGATATATTTTATGTTACCCAATATATCCAAAATATTTTATCATGTTATCAATGTAAGATGTATTAATGTGATAGTTCACATCTTTATGGGCAGCTATAGACACTTTCTGTAGTCTAGAACTTTACAGATACCCTAAGGTAGATTTAAACTAATCCTCCCTTGAGGATCGAAAGCCAAGAGGAAAAAGCTGAGAGCTTTTGATTCTAAGTGCTTCCAGTCCAATCCAGCAATGTGAGTTTACTTAACCAGTTAGAAGCAGGTCTCAAAATTTAAGGTGCATCAACAATCACTGGGGGGCAAGGAGTTACTGGTGGTGGTATGTATTAAGACTTAATAAATCCAAACCTGGGAGTGGGCCAGGTGGTTCTGATGTAGAGCCCATATGTGGGAAACCATTTTATTGAATCCTGTCAGTGCTTACTGCTGCTCAGCTGACAGCTGTTAGAACCCATACCTAACAGCCAGATCATGTGAATTCCCAACAGCGGTGTTAACAGATTCCAAGCCTCACTCCAGGGTGGGGGATCTGTTACTTTTATACAGTTCCTCAGGTGAATCTTTCACAATCAGGTAGGTTTAGAAAACACTAGGACATTGGTTCTCAAACTTTGCTGCACATCAGAATCACGCTGGGAGTCAGTCATACTCCGTAGCAATGAAATCAGGTCTGGGGATGGGAGTCAGCAATCTGTATTTTTAAAAGGTTCCCAAAAGGTTCTAATGTGCAGCTGGGAACCACTGCATTAAGCCTTTCAAGAAAAGGAATGCCAGAGTAGATAACATGTCAGCTCAGCAGCTGTAGACGCTGTAACGCCCAGGTGGAACTTGAAAGTGGGCCCAATTGGTAAGTTAATTTCTACCTCCTCTTTGAGTTTCATTAAATTGTAATGGATGCATTCAATTAAAATTAAGCACTTGGTGAGACTAGAAGGTGGCAGAGCATATGGAAGCATAAAAAGGGAGCACAGAGAATGATGGGCTAAGTACTTATACCAAAAACCCAACCACTTCACAAAACAAAGGAACTGAAATGCTAAAATGCTTTTTAGAAGTGTGACCTCTTCACTCTCTTGGGTTACCACACGGTACTTAAAGGAAAGGACCGGAAGCCACAGACCCAAAAGGAACCAAATGGAAATTCCAAGTCTTGTTTTCTGTCAGCTGATCATTAGAATGGGAAGTGAAGTGCAAAGACTGAGCCATTTAGGACAAAGCACCCCCGCCGCCAAAGGACAACACGGAGCAAGTCAGAGAACAAGAAGCAGGAAGGATGAAGGTCTAGCCAGGCTTTGCCCTGAAAACACAACATCAAAGCTGTCTCCTGACTCAGAGCCTGGTCCCCCGGTGGCCAGGGTCCGGGGAGGGGTGTGTCACCCGTCTCGGGTCGCGCACCCCCCCCC